ATATACACATCGAGCATTTTCATAATATAATATACTTCATTTAAAAGCAGTCTCTTGTTTATGTTAATTTAAGTTTTTTCACACAATGCAAAAGCATGAAATTCAGATTATTATTAGAGTTTAATTTTTCGGAAATTTATTACCTATTATTTTCACTAAAAAGAATTATCTTGGCAAGTAACAGCGGGTTTATTTAACCGCATTTTCCCTAGGTAAACAACAGGTACGAAAACCACCTAAAATAATAATAACATCAAAAAAATCAAAGTTAAAAAATGTTTGTTTGTGACAAACAATCAGGTAGATTATTGCAAAATATTAAACACGTACTTTTTTTATTTTTAGCGTAATCAATAAATTGAGTTGAAATGTCGCTTTCTACAAAACTGTGACGTAGCGAGCCCCTACTCCTTAACTTTAAAGCGTAATCTAAGCCATTTCATTTTGAAATTGGCACAAAAGAAATACTTATTTAATATGCTTTTATATTATCTGATTGACAGACTAAACAGACTTTCTTTTTTTACCCAGTCGTCGTTCCTATTGTCAATGGAAAAAATATTAGGTACGCAAGTTTTAGCTTGTCCAGTGATCATAATACTGCTTCATGTAGTATGATTGACATCAGTGTTCCCACTAGAAGGGAATAGGTAATTTCATTGGAAGCAGCCCTCCCGTCGAGCCACCGTTCGAACTGTGCAATACAATGTCCTCCATTTTATCTGAACGGACAAATTGAAATATTTAAGTGCTGACAACAACATAAATAAAAGAAGAAATTAATATACGAATTAGAATGCTAATTCGTAGATATATTATTAAACGATATATTATTATAAAGAAACTGTAAGAGTTAGCTAGTTTTTAGGACCTATTTATTCTGTAGTTTCGAGTCAGGAGTTGTTATATTTTGTGACTTATCTAAACATAATCATTATTTCCTATCACCAATCTTGGTAATAAGTTATGGAGTAGTTAGCGCGTTCAAAGCCCAGCTATAGGATGGGTGAACAAAATCTTGAACTTCTCCGTGCTTTGGTCCTGGTTGTATTTTGTAGTCGTTTACACCTACGAATCGTGATGTGAAATGATAAGTCATTCTTTGCCCATTATCCCTATTTGATTCGGTTCCATCCATAGAGAAGAACTGTATGCCCCAGCAGTGGTAACTTTATTAGACTGATGATGAATCTTGGTAATAGATAGGTACAAACCTACTCAATATTAATGATAGCATAAATAAAGAGTATTACTTCGATATAATTCCATTAAACTTTATTCAATAACAGAAAAGCGAACTTTGGAAGACAACAAATCGTCAACTCAACATGGCAGCCGCCTACGTCACGTCCGCTTGATTTATACGATCAGTGCGCAGACGCACAAATTGGCGACGTATTCCATTAACTCATGCATAACGAGTGAATTGTAAATATTAAAAATGATTTAGTTTATTATGGCGCGTTTATGGAACGCAGAAATTTTAAGTGACCTGGGAGGGTCGGTGTGTTTTGTAAATGAAGTAATATACAATAATAAGGTAGATTCAATGATTAGATGTTTTGATGAAACATTTCAAACAATTATTCTATACAAAACTGGTAATTTACACTCACTAACAGTATAAAAAAATACTTATATGCGAGTAGAACTCCAGGAAGGAAGAGGTGCGATTTAAGAGGATTCCAGAAGTACCGGTAACGAGCGCATAAATCACGTTTTTTGTATGGGATCCCTCTTAAACTCTTTTTTTTTTAATATTTTTTATTTTGTTATAGCGGCAACAGAAATAATTTATCTGTATTTATATTGCCGCCTTGTGATAGTGAAGGACGGACGGAAGCATGGACATGCAACTTACACTTAATAAGGTCCGGTTTTTTACCCTTTGGGTACGGAACCCTAAAATATATTACATGTACCATATTTTAGTACATAAATGTTAACGCAAATGTTAAGATTTATGGCTCGTCGATCGTAGAGCAGTGTAACTGAACCATTATGCAAAAACAAATATATGATTACAGTTGTTGAGGGTTGATTGCTGATACAAATAAATTGTATGTAATTTTTTAATATCACATAAAAATTTTAAATTTTTCTTCATCATTTTTATATCGCAGTCTATTCTAAGTCATCGGTGTTGTACATTTGTCTGCCCGTACCATACAAAAGTAAGTAAAAATCATAGATTAGTTAAATATAGATTACTAACTCTCTCAGTAATACTTAACTAACAGCATTTTAGATGTCGCTCGTTGTTTTATTAAGAAATGAAATTTTTATTTCCTGCACTAAGAGAATACTAAAATAATTTGTCTCCTCGTACCGATGTATCTACACTTTTGAGTACAATCGCGTTCAATTTTATTATTTCAGTATTTTTACATTGCATGCAGTATAGGCTAGTTAGGTAATTATATTATTAGATATTTAATGAAGTTGTTATATTTTATGTAATAGAAATCAGAACCAATGACAATAAGTACAACAAGCGCACCTGAATTTATTATTAATTGCATGCAATAGTTTAAAAAAGTGACGGTAGGATCGATAGAATTTGATAATTTTTATATTGTCGAAATTAACTCATAAAAGTTTTGTTCTAAAATAGACTTCTGGGATACGTATGTTAAGTAATTTTCGAAAAGGTCAGTCATACTATATGCGACTTTAAATGTATTATCTCAAGTTCTTCCTTACCTCGGAAGGCAGATAAGCGTTATTCAGGCTGCATCAGCAATCGTTAACCCACCTGAATCCACGAGGTTCATTGTGTCCCGTTCTCCCTATTTGATTTCATCCATTGATATAAGGTCCATGTCACTGCAGTACGGCCAGTAATTATCACTGTTAAGAGAACTTAAAAGGTTCTACAAATCTTTGTTGACTAGGTACACACTATAATTCATTTTGTGATATCACCTACCCATACAATCAATATACTTAGCTGCTGCCTTCTACGAGAACCTCAGGGACCTGTGACATTCTAACCTTATAATAACTAGTTTTGTCTTTGGAAACAAGATAAGTAGACAATCGATTTGCATCCGTCGCTTTTATTGAAACAGGAAACGCCTATCTTAAACATAATTTAATACATCAGATAATTTATTGAATTTAGACTTCGAAGCCTGCAAAGAATAATCTTTAAAAAAAAACACAAATTATACACATTAAATCCGTTCAACAATTGTTTTATTAATGTAAGACTTTTCTCTGCGTCTGCACTAGGTAAGTCCAGACCCCAACTATGTGACATTTCCTTGCTCCCACTATCTAAAGGTTGGCTTATACCTCCGCTAGCTAAAAGGTCGTTCCCAGTGCAAATATACAAACTTAAATCTTTAGCTAGCTATTATGTTTTATAGAGATTTTAAGCACATTAAAAGCATATTCATCGTTAGATTAGAATTACAATACTTTCACATTAAAGATACCCAAAAACAGATATAATTAATTATATAAAAAATAATATCATCAACACTGAGACAAATATGTTATGGTAATTGTTTGTGTGTAATATATAGTATTTGGTTAGTACTATTAGTCCATTATGGTGCAAAGTTTAATAATGATAATTTAATATGTTTTTGTAAATATTATTAAGTTTTATTATTTCTATATACTAGCTCTTTTCCAGAGACTTGCCTCCTATAAAGTATATGCATAATATAAATATGGAAAAAAATTAAAAGCGGTCCAGTGGAGCTTATTAAACGCAATAATCAACGCTACAATCAAAATTTTTATTTGCTTTAAATGTTAGTATAAATATTGCCAATTGATAAATTATTTCATTTAATTTTATGACAAATATATATTTTTTCTGGAATAATTCCCGTTGACCTGACATTATCAAAAAAATAACGCAACCCAAACATGCTCTCCGTGTTCCTATGAATTTCTATGACATTATACATGATACAATATAAAATCCAATGGTAGTTTCATATGGTGCTCCTATCTTGACTCAATTGCACTAAAGCTAATTTTTTCTATAAACTATTATTTTAACAATTCAGGTATTCACATGACTTTCCCGTTTTGAATAACTCAAATTGTGCTATAAAGAATCAATTATTACCAATCAAAATAATTTACTTAAGTTTGTATGCTCAATAAAATCAATAAACTCTACAGTAATTTGAATTTCTCTAGGTACTAATGGGCTAAACTTGTAACTGTGTCGTCTGAACGATGTTCGATCCTTAACACATTTATAAAGTACTTCTTTAAGAACTGGTTTTAATTGTTTTTATGTCTCATAGTATAGTATCTTTATTGCAAGGTGTATATTAAAAGCTTTTAAAATACTTGTCAATGCAAATTTTAGATAGTACTTTGTCGATAAAATTAACCGAAATTATATATTTATTATTTTAAAAAGATTAATGACGGATTACGTTTTTGTGTTAGCCTATGTTACGGTACTTAAGGAGGGAGACGTATCCCGTTATGTATTCTTAAAACAAACATAGAAAACAAAACTTTTCCTAGATTCAAACTATACCTAGACACTGACCAATAACATATTAAATATTAGACACTATCACTCACGACACTATAAATTGCTCAGATTCCAAGATGAGTAGCTAAAATCCCCAGTATTATGGAGAATCTAAGATAACGAAGATACCACAACACCCAGACCTGAGACAATATAGAAAAGTTCTTTTTCTACATTGACTCGATCAAACCTTTTTTTTTGACGCTGGGAAATGCATTACTGCTTACCCCGGATCGCCAGCGCGGCTAACTTTTGCGCGGTTATATGGTGCTTCCCCCACTTACCCGCCCCAGAATGGTGCTAATCAAAGATCAAAGATCCTGTATACCCACTAAAACCCAGCGATGTCCCTCGCATGAAAGGCGATGCACGGGATCGGCCCGAAGGCCATACACCGCGTGGTTCCCCCCATTTCAACCCGCCATGAATAACTTTTTTGTATTTTTTTTAATATGTGATCATTGTCACCAGTGAGCAAGAAGCGGCCGTGATGAAAGCGAACCCATGGTTGTACCACTACTACGCAGTTCAATCTAAACTGCACTACGGATTAGCATACGAGGCTGCTTCAAGAATGTACGGACCACCAGCGTCTGAGCTCCCCGTCTACCCACCAGCGATGCAGTACCCAACACCTCCAGTTTGCATTAATGGCGCCCAACCTGTGATGATGCCGAACTCGGGCCTTCAACCACATATACCCCATGCACCTCCACATCTAACACCGATGCATTATGCTTATGAGAGAGTAGACAATGGACCTGTAGATTATTCTGTGTCGCTGCAAGAGAACAGGTACCTTAACATACGTGCTTATTATAATATATATGCCGAGAGTATCTTTCAGCAGCTGTGTTTTAGTTTGGTAATAAAATATCGAAATGTGTCCTCAGCTAATGACAGTCAACAACTCTCCTATATTTAAAACTGCACCAAATTACAGATACATTTCAAATTTGAGTTAAATCGGTTCTGTAACTTCGGAGTTTATCAATAGCATACATTGTGACACAAGATTATTACATTTTATAGATTTCTCAATACAACTTTAAATCCTAAGTTTACAAGTTACTATTTTCCTGGATTGCATTTAAACAGTATTTAACAAAAACCGCATGCGTAACTTTAGCCTCCTGTTCCAGGTATCACAATATCAGAATAGAGGATACGAGAATTCAACCGAACGCGAAACGGAAAGCTAAAAGTACAGAAGACAAACCTAACACACCAGTTCCGAATGTATCTCCTCGCTGTACACCATCCACAGTCACTTCCGGAGACACCTTAGTAGCAGTCCAAGCTGGTTCAATAACAAGTAGACGACCGGGTTCTAAGAATTTTAATATAACCGAGACGGACATGATAGATCAATGGAATCCTAGTCCCACTTGGTCTGAATCAGCTCTGCAAAAAGTTCCAGATGTTTGTCACCAAGATTTAAGTCCTTACGTAACAACAACACCGCCGACACCTTCTGGGACTCCTTCAGCTTACACTCATAACTGTAGCCATACCTTTGTATTTGACTGGTCACCAGAGCAATATGTTCCTCATACTAATAATAGATGTAATACAGTAACAACAGAAGGTTCCTACCAGCAGACGTGGAATAGGAGTCATCAAAGATCTTTTGCAACTGAAGGTTCAGTTGACGAAAACTGTAATCCTAATAGATTAAGTATACCAATGAGGGTCAGTAATCCACCGCCGGCGTATAACGCTAATAGAGATGGAGAAATCCTTAGAAGACAAATAGGTGAGTATGCCGTAACTCCTTTTTGGTTTTATATTATATTGTTCTTACTATTATGTTGTAATACTACTATAATGTAATAATGTAGGTACCTAATATACAACCTACCTATTTAGTTCACAAATAAGTTTTATCAGTTTTAAAGTTTTTTCAAGCTCTTAATTAACTTACAATGTATGTATGTATGTTCGCCATATCTTGCAACTGAAGCTAATCAGCTATCCTTAACCGATAAAGCTGAAATTTTTCATGTAGGTTTTGTTACAATTCGTGGTAAGCTAAGTTACCGACATCATTTTGCATCTAATATTGCGGACGATCTAAGATTTTTTGTGTATTGTTATATCACTAGGGTATCGAATAAAAAGGAAATTTTAGTAACAAAAATACGAATATAATAACTACACAGTGGCGGACTAAGGGGGGGGGCGGAGGGGGCGGTCCGCCCCGGGCCTCTTATCCTGGGGGCCAAATGGCTGAAAGTTCCTTTTTATCAAATCATAAATTGTGGTTGTACTGCCTTATCTTTCTAAGTTTCGTAGTTTTAGCAGGGGAGGCGATGTAAACACAAAATCAAGTTTCTGCACCAGTTGTAAAAAGTTTTAGGTACGGACCTAATGCCGCCCCGGGCCCCCGACAGGGTGAGCCCGCCATTGTAACTAAATTTTAACCTAAAATGGCCGAAGTATGTTTTAATCGATCTCGTGATATAGGTATCTAATAAAGTACGGATTTGAGATTACAGACACTAAATAACAATAAATAAATAATAAAAATGATATTTTTAAAACAAAAACAACTGGACCATGAAACTGGACGCCCGCAAGCACGGTGTCGGTGGCGACGCGGTGCAACGCAACTTGATAGAAATGCTTTAGTGGAAAGGAGGCCAAGATGGAAGGGCTAACTTTGTGTAGTAATAAATAGAAATGTGTTTGGATTAAGTCTCTTATTTAAATTGTTCTTGAAAGGTTATTAAATTATAAAAACTAATTTCTAATTAACGAGTTATAACTTGTGAAGTAAAACCCTGAGAAATTCCATTTCACCCTCATCTAGAAGGCAAAATTTAGAATATCATGACATAAATTAAAGTGTTGCAATTAATACTTAAAATACAACCATATTCTAGCTTACGTATATATTTAAAATACGATAGACATCGTAAGCAATCTTCTGTAGCTGTTATTTTTCTTCGGGAAACAGAGAAATAATTATTTCTTTACTTTTCTATTATTTTCTGTTCTCTTCGTCCTTAATTATGTCCATTAATTTTACAGTCCCATATTTTTGTTCATTATTTTATTTTATTTTTTACTCCTTCCGTTTTGTCCTCAAATTCATATTTCCGTGTTGCGTGTACGCTGGTATCATAGTTAAATTAACATATCTATAACTTCACGAATAATTTGCTTTGGTTAATGTATCAATGTGTTATTTATCTTAAGCAATCAAAGCAGAAAAATCTAACGTTTTTATAATGTTTTCCTATCTAATAAACACAGCTTGTAGTACGTTTTACTGGCTGGTGCGAACTTCGTAAATCACCTTCAGCTACGTGTCTCTTACTGTAAGAGCATCCGCGATAGATCAATTATTTTGTTTATCATAAGAAGTTTTCATTTTGCCCACTCCTTCCATCTTGCTCTCCCTTCCCCTAAGTTTATAAGGCCACCACCGGCCTAAGAAGACTATAAGAAATATTTTTTTAATATTCTTTATCTGATGTTTTAGATCGTACGCATCCAGAATCACCGGACGCCAAAAAACCTGCATTATAACACAAATGGAATATTTTTATAAGATAAACTTTTATATTTAGTTGATATTTGTTACCTTGTATTAATAGATTTTATTTAAAGAAAAGCTCTGGAACTCTCCTGTGATCTTTGTGTCGATAAGTTTGTAAAATTTTTATATAAGTAGATTGTTTAATTTTGATAGTAAACTTGTACATATAATAAATTATGTTTTCCTAAATGTAAAAAAGACATCACATATAATGTGATATAGTTCATTTATTGTAAATAATGAATGCCGATACAGTGCAAAAATAAGGTAAAAGTTTAATTTGGAGCGAATGATTTTTTATAGCTCTTTAAACAAAAGGTCCAGTAGCATAGACAATTAGTGAACACAGGTTCTTCCAAAATATGGTGCATAATGTAAAAGTTCCTGTTATATAAGCGTTGTCGTCCTAATTAGTTATAATCCTAAGAGCAAATTAAGCGACTACGTCATAATTGTAGAATACACACAAATCTCATTTATTCTGTTCAATTTTATATTATTCGTCGAGCGAGAACAACAAAAGCTTAGAAATAGTGGTAGTTTGAGCGTACAATCGTGACATCAAAGCTAATATCTATTTGGAATAATTGTCCTATTTGAAATTGAGAAGACTAAGGGCCCGTTTCACCATTTGCTGATATAGTACCAGTTAGTTATCTAACATACAACGCTATCTGACAATTAAAAGTCACTGATATTATCCGTTTAGTTCTATCTGAGATTTGTGAAACCAAAATATGCAAGTTATCTGGCAAATAAGTTTCTGATAGGCTATCAGGGACTTAATCAGCAAGTGATGAAACTGGCCCTAAGCTTTTTTTCTGTAGCAAGTAGTGCAGCCTGGTTTCTTTAAATCTGCAATTTAGTTGAGACTTTGCTAGCTGGGTAACAATAATTTTAACCATGCGCTATATAGTCTTCAAATTGAACTTAATCAAACCCACTATTCCAAAATGTAAATGTGCTTTACAAATTTTCTACTACTATAATAAAAAATGAGAGATATTTTTAATGGAAAATTGTTAAAAATCCACCAGCCCAGGAACCCCAAGGGACTCGAACCCACGACCTTTCGTAATCCGGGCGACTGTTCTATGAAAGGTCGTGGGTTCGATTCCCACTTCGGGGTACCTAGGGCTGGTGGATTTTTAAGCATGTTTCATTAAAAAATATATCAGTATAACATTGTAAATGCAAAATTGATCAAATATAAAAATAAGAGATTTTAAGCTTATTAATGTTTTTATTTAAAAAAATAAAGTTACTCATTAAAGTTACAAATTAAACAATTTGTTTTATAATATTTGATTGTTGTTTTTTTTCGAATGATAGGAATGAATTATTTGTACATACTTAATTAATTATATGTTCTATTTTCTGTATATTATGAATCGACACCTGGCTAGGTAAAAACTATTTAGGATTAATTTATAATCTTTACTTTGTTGAACGAATTCCGAAAGTAAAATATAAAATGAAATTATACCTTTTTTATTTTATTTTAACACCTCTTGTGTACATGTAGGTTTTCTTTCGCCGTGAAAATCTACTGCAGATTATGCCGGCCGAAGTTTATACTATAAATGATACTTTTATACTATGAGCTTCCATTGTTATTTATAGAATATTGACGACGTTTTTTATGGTTTTCACGACGAAAAATACGTTCATGTACAAACAACAGGTGTTATTCCTTCTCCTTGACAATATGTCCACTCATAGTAAGTCGGATAATGAAAAGACATTTAAATATTCATCAATATATTGTAAGAAATATACCTAATACATTCAAATCTATTACAATACACGCGTCAGTTCTAAATGTCATTGATTGATTGCATTGAATTCTTACATTATGACTCTTCTTACTATCTAAAGATTCTATATCTACATTTCACATAATACTCACGCCTCAGGTCTCAAACGCATATTTCTTAATAGGCACAAATCTCTTGCAGTATTTTTTCTGCCATATGCAGTAGTTAGATCATAAAGCCTAAGTATAAGCCCTATATTAAAACTATCAGGAAGAGCTTTTATTAGTGTAGGCACGAGCTCACTGGGCATTTTTTGCAAAACCACTTGAGCTCTGTCATGGCCACACTGTACTATATACACCAGAAATTCTAATATAAACTGAGTCTGTGGTGTAACATCACCATTTTTGCCAGCCAATTGCGAAAAAGATTTATACAGAGTATCTAAAGCAGACTGCAATGGTTCTCTCAATACCACCCCAGAAATAGATTGGCCTTGAGAATAATAGATACTAGTGCTATCAGACGCATTGTCATTCAGTCTTCTCACTTTACTAGAAGAGCACATTGCATCTAAATCTTCGGCATCATCGTGTCGACGTTTACGGGAACTATGAACTTTATTATAAGAATTACTGTGTTCAAGAGCAGCATAAATGCAATACACAGACAATTTCGCCAATATGGATGACTGAGGTTCCACTAGCTCTTCACTTAGTTTAGCATTGTACAAATACTGAGGCAAAACATGTAATAATAAAGCTTCAGTACATTTCTCAATATCCAAATGTAACATTGCAAGTACTACATCAACGGATCTGTCAAGGTCATCTTGATATCTGAATTTTAGTGTTTCTTTGATAAGATATGTCACAAACCAGACAGGACCTGTAATATTCAAGATACTGTCAACAATGTGAGTAGCATCTATATGAAGATATCCTCTGGATTTGATGTCCCCCCACACAGCCTGAAGCTGTTCTAGCATTGGTTGATTAGAAATAATACTGTGTGATAGAGCGACAGCTTTTGTCTTTGGTACAGAAGCAGGATGGACTTCATATTGCATTTTCCTTATAATCTGACACATCAATATTGCTCTCTCCTTAAAATTATCTATTTGTGTCAACTCTACTTCTGTAGGAGGTGTCAAAAATTGCTGAACCATGTTTATTGGTTTCAAAAATGCTTCTTGATGTACAACATTGATGTAGGAACATAACCAAACTGATGCACAGACAGCCAATGAGGCCATTTTCTGCCTTAATGAATCTAACATACGTTTTACATCTGCAGCAGTGAGTGATCCTTGTTCCCATGCAAATAATATCTCCTTTACTGCCCCACTGACATTCAAAGCAAGATCATGTGGTTTCATATTTGTATTCTTAAAGTCAAAGTCTGGTGCACTAAGATGATGAATTAAAATATCTACCATTTGTGAATCACATTTTTGTGATATTTGATCTGGTGATTTATATATTCCCTTACAAGGCATACATTCTCTAACCCAGTTTTCAAAAAATGATTCACCATTTTCTTCTAAAACAGCATCAGCACCATAGTCTTGCACTATTGAGCATAAAATCAGGAATGAAATATCAAAAATATAAACTTTAGATTGCGACGCACCTTTTTCAGTTGCAGAAAGAAGAGCAAATTCATTGAATTTAATAAGCCTTGATACTAATAATTTCAATTTTCCTTCAACTGTAGCTACTGCTAATATTGTGTCAAGTGTTGCTCCTCCTACTATTTGACACAGCATAGTATAAAGAGATTCTTGCGTTTTATAAAAGTCACCTCCCATAGTTTTTAAGATACCAGTCAATGTAGGTTCAGCTCGAGTAATGAAGCTGGGTACAGAACCTTGTAGACCTGTTGGTTCTAATTTCTGTAGCTTTACATCTTTGCTTTCACGTTTTTGGCTAAAGTATGACAAATGACTTTCAGACAAAACATTCAATTTTACCAAAGGTTCTATCAATGATACCACACTGTTACAAGAATTCTTAGTGTCGACAATGTCTAATAGTGGTGTGGATTGCAACAGCAATTCAAAAGCTTCAACAAGTTCAATGGAATATTCATTTTCTTTATTAGTAGTCCCACACATATTATGAAGGTAATGCATAACTTGAGGAATTTTAAGGAAAGTAAAAGCTGCCCACAGTGCCTGTTTTATTGCATCTTTACTCGAGTCATTTAATGAAATAAAACATGCCCTGATTAGTTCACAATAAAGTCTAGACAATGGGTATCCCTTAATTCTTTGCACCATCAATAACTGATTTGACAACTGCTGCAGATCAGCACTAGGATGAGCCAGCACATTTATTGCTACAAGAGCCTGCAAACAATGTGTTATTGTCTCTGGTTTATTATTCAATGGAGCAATTTTATCAATGTCCATATTACATATTCTCTGCAATGTTTCATGAATCGTAACGGGTGCTTTGAATTGTGTATTCATCATCATGAATGCGGTGATCTCTTGACATTTCTTTGTGATCTCATTGTACTCATCAGGGTCATTCTGTTTTGCAAAGTAAAACATTGCTAGTAGAAAATCGGTATTGACAATTGAATTAAGAACCGAGGTGGATTTCTCTAAAATTTCTTGGCTCTGAATAGGATTAGATGAAGGATATTTAGTAAGAGAATAATGATAAACTTGAAGAAGCCATAGAATAATCGAAAACACAGAGAAAGCTAACACTTCTTCTTCCATTTTGCCTCTACATGTTATGCTGTCGAGAAACCCTTCTAGAAATTCTAATAGTGCAATAATGCAATGAGGTTTATGAAATGCATCGAACTTGGCGATTCTTTGAAGTACTGCGGCATAGGAGACTAGATGTGAAGCCAAAGAGTGTTTCAAATATGATATCACTAATTGGTTTGCACCACATCCAACCATGGCTTGTTGGAGAATACAATCAGCGAGGTTATAAAGATCACCACTTACGCCTCTAGGCAGGATCGTTTTAATGTTGATACCCCATTGGATGTCTGTCCATCGCTCACGCCAGGCTTTAAGAATCAGTGCTTTCAAAGAGCTTGTTTTACTAGTAATCTTGGAGGCATCCATTGTCACCGTCAGCGAATAGTTATCACTTAACAAATTTACACTATCAGTAACATTAAAATTACTTCATAAGGTTATTTTAGGATGTTTCGATATAATATTTTAAAGATTTTCATTCACTTATGATTAAAATTATAATTTCCTTAGAAATTATTACCAAACATAATACAACCACCTGACGTGACAATAAACACTAAATTTGTTTTTTATTACAATAAAACTTGGATGTCAATGTCACGATTTTACGAATGTTATGTTTAATCTGATTGGTCAAAACGTATATAACGGATGTAAACGAGAACTTACCTACTATCTTCGGATTTGCGTTTAGTTATCTCTAACGGTGAATGATTAAGACTTTCTTTGATTACTGTTGATAAAATAATTATTAAAACCAAAAAACCAGGTCTACTTGATAGAAAACATATTAAAATAAATATAATTTGTAGAAAAAATATTGAATTTTCTCTCTTTATCGCTCGTCCTAAGATCTCACTACCAAAGAACTAAACGCCTAATGTCAAAAACAGGCCCGGTAGCACACATGTTTTTGTTTTGTTTACAAACTTTTGTGCTATAGTTTTGTTTCTATTTTAATTAAAATGAGTTTTAAAAATTATAAAGACAAAATTGATGAAGGTGATACAGTTATTCTTTACCTTAGCAATAATTTATATGCCTTAGAGGTACGTCGTGAAATAAAAAATAAAAAAGGGGAAATGATAGAGAATGTTTTCCAAACACCCTTTGGTGCTTTAAAGGTAAAGAACTTGATTGGAGCTGATTTTGGAAGTAGGGTAAGTTACAATTAATAGATCCCATGTACAGAATTGAGATACATATAGTATACTTTAATTATTAAGGTTATATTCAATACAGATGCGCCGAATATTCGTTTAGTAGTCGGTATTCGTCATGTTTTTCACTAATTGTATTCGTCCGAATTAATCGGTTTTGGTGCCGTATTTATTTGGTTCTAGTATTTGCATTTTATTCGCTACATAACACAGTATAGTACTAAAAGACAAAACTTCTTATGTAACATTTAAATCAAAGAAATCTTATGAAGAATATATCCAATAAACCTAATAAAATAAAGCAATTAAACTTCAAATATTTTTTTTTAACCTTTTTATGCAGCAAATGAGTGAAATGATAGGCCGAATATCTGTTTCCATAAAAGTTGAACCGAATAATATTTGGTATTTGGTTAATAGGCGACACCCCTATTCGGTGCATATCTAATATTGAATGGAAATATTACTTTTTGAAACACATTATCGCTCATCATAATATGTATACAAATAAATGCTTTGACTTTATTTCACCATGTTAACCAGGTGGAGTTATCCAAAGGATGGGGCCATGTTTTGCAACCGACGCCTGAACTCTGGTCTTTGACATTGCCTCACAGAACACAGATCATATACACACCCGATATTAGTATGATATTATTACAACTTGATCTTGTACCTGGTAGCACTGTAATTGAAGCTGGTAAATACAGAATTTCCTTATAAACCAATATATTATTTTCTAAACAATTTTAACATTGACTTTTAAAAAATGTATAAAAATTCACTTATTGTCAATTACTTCAAGATTAAACACAATTATTTGCAAAAAAAATTGATATACTATAAAATTCAGGCTTTTTATTAGATTTACATTTTGACACTAATGCCATCTGTTGGTTGTTGAATAAAACTAATAAAACCTTATGATGGGTTTATTTAGGTACAGGCAGTGGCTCCTTAACTCATGCTTTGATCAGAAGAGTGAGACCTCATGGGCATGTTTTTACATTTGACTTCCATGAACATAGAGCTAAAATTGCTAAAGAGGAGTTTGAAGAACATGGCATTGCTGACTTTGTTACGGTAAGGAAATGCATGTTTACTTTAAACAAGTTCTTAGTACTTATTATTCATTATTTTCCTAAAATCTTACTATAAAATAATTTCCATATGACCTAAGTTCCATATAAATTTATGTACATAAAAAAAATTAAGTCTGATTAGGACATCAATGAATGGACAGATTTACCTAATTTTGGCTTTATAATATTTGTAGTCTGAGGACATTCCTTAATATTTTTTATTTTTATAATAAATAGTAAAAACAATTTGAATTATCATTGAAATTTTAAGTTAGTTTTTGAAAACTGAATAAAACATATTATATTTAATAATTTTGTACTTTTTAGGCACGACATAGAGATGTTCTGGAACTTGGTTTTGGTGAAGAACTGAATGGGAAAGTTGATGCAGTGTTTTTGGATCTGCCAAGTCCTTGGGCTGGTATCCCTCATGCTGTTACTGCTATAAAGGAGGAAGGTAAGTGTTAAAATAATTTTCACAATTTTTATTGTATTTAAATAAACATCAAATAACAAATATTAATAGAAAAATTTACCTCCAATTAAAAAATAAATGATTATTATTTTATTAAGGCACCTTCATTTTTTGTCATTGAATGTTATCTAAGCCATTTTTGATGAAGTTCATGAAAACGATTTTGCCTCCAATATAGATATGCTCTATATAATATTTGATGAAAGGTTTATTTTCTTGTTTCCAAAAGTCCTGTAGATATAATTATTTTTAATTTTATTCCATCTTATTTAAACTTAACACTTAATAGTTACCTAACATAGATTTGTAAAGCTGATTTTGAACTTTAATACATTAAAATACATTTAAAATCGAGTGACGACATTTGACATAAGGTCGTGATGTGCTGTTGACTGTACTGGGTAGTACTTTACTGTAGTGTAGTGGCATCACATATCACGCGTCAACTAATAACTAATCCAGATAAGGCGAATAACACGAGTGAGTCTCAGATAGCAAGTTTTAGTCTGTCCGGGGTTGAGAATGTATTAAAACTTTACAATATGCCAATTAATGGTTTTTTTCCAAACATGATGTAAGAATGTATGTTGCATCAGTTAACGTGCATTTAATATTGTCGAATAAATCACAATATTTTTAATTCCAAAATCCTAAGCTCTTTAGCGTGTCCGTTGCATACTTATTATTTTATAAAGCATTAAACTCGGTTTCCAAATAAAAAAAGGAACAAAAAGTACTAGTACGTAGTACTATAGATGGATATGAAGTGATAAATTTATTGTTTAATAGAGCTAGAGCTTATTTAAGAAGAAACCTGAATTATTATTTATTATTCTATTTTTATGAACACATTCTAATTTCCTTGGCAACTTTTCTAAGTTCTTTGACTAATTTTCTAAGAGCTTTGGTTACTTTTATTTTTTTTACGAAATATAATATCTTTTGAGTGTGAGTGTGATTGATAAATATATATAAAAGTCTTTCTTTCTTTCAAGTGCTGTTTTAAATTTATTTATATGTTAACTTATCTATACGTATACAATGCGACTTTAATGAGGAAGTATTAAAAAAAATTTGCTACCAAAATCAAACTAGATTTCGCTACGGTATTTTCTTGATTTCTCCATGACAATCATTTCTTTCATGTATAAAAGTAAATTAATATTCAAAACTCAATAAACAACTCATATTATATTTGTACTTTTTCGTATTTGTATTGATATCTAAGTTTCGAACATCGCAAATTTCAGTTTTTTAATATGTTAGTTAAAAGGAACGGAAATGACTATCTTTGATTAATTCGTTTTCTGCAAAAATCAACTTTTGCTAGAGTCGCCATCTAGTGAGATGCTTTCTTTTTTTTTTAATACTTCCTCACTCTGTAGTCGCTTACAACCGAATTAGAATCGACTTACAAACACTATAAGTCGATAAGAATCGAGTGAAAGTTTCTATTGAATTACAATCACACATGCTACAAATCTCGATTACAAATGCGCACAACCTAGATAAGAAATCGATTGTAAAGCAGGAAAGGGAGATCCTTATAAATCGCCAATCCGATTGTGATCTGATCATCGGTGTCAATTATTTAGATCCTCTAGTAACATATTCGATTTTAATCAATAAATTTACTATCGTGCTGGTTAGGGTATTCAAAATCGATGCAACGTTACGAAAGTACTAGGCTTGTATATGGTTGTCACATAATTATTTACTAACGAGTTGCGTATGAAAGTATTAGAACGAATTGCAAATAAATAAAAGACTCGTAACTCTCTGAAAATTGTTCCAACCGTACATCATGATTCACCTACTAGTAAAGTAAATTATAAACTAGTGTTAATGATAGATACACGTCAGCAGGCATCCCGCGTAACTACACTTACATTTATTAGGAAATATATAACCTTTAATACACAACTGTCAAATGTCGCCAATCGATATCAACATTTGTGTGGTTAGTATTAGAGTTGGAATTTGTTTGAATTGTCAGAATCATATGCAATAGGCTTACGTACAAGTATGTTTATATTAATATCTACAGTCTTTTGTTCATGTTATATTATTTACTTACTCATTATTGCCATGAAACGATGTAAATTAACTACCAACCTACAAATTCTACAAAACATCACACTTTGTCCATCGCATAGACATTTAAGGAGATCCTTACAATCAAAATGTCAGATCTGGCCATATTTTCATGTTAAACCGGATCCAATTTAATATGAATCATAGGTGAATCGTGGTCGACAGCCCTGTTCATTTGGCTAATTGGTAAATGGTAGCCGTTATAACTAAGTGGTAGATACGGATCGCGCTGATCGTGTCTCTCACCGACAAACGACACACTGACAGCTGTTAGTTATCCTTGAAAGTGCTATTAGGAGTACTATTGTGTCGTCCGCTAGCGACTAGGTCCCTTGTGAAGTTAATTAGTCGATATAATCTTAAGAAATCAGTGTGTACTCTGTGGGATATGACCTTATTAATATTTCTATATATTCTCCTAGTCTGCTTTTACTTGAAGTATTCGAATGGACTATATACAAAAGGATAGGCAGTACAGTCGTAGTAACATATTTGTTATTCATACACGGATGCAATAGGATAATTATGACGTCATAATCTAGCTAATCATCGACA